CCTATCTGTTAGTTGTTTGGCTTATAGAGAGACATGGAACTGAGTTGGAAGGATGCTAGGTACTCGTTGATGGTCTCAATATTAAATCAGGCCAGTTGGTCAATTGCTGGCACTGCTCTCGATCATTGTAGAGCTGCCTAACTGAGGTAGCAGAGGGTGCAGAGGATTGAATGGGTTTCAATCTCAAACAGTAAGCATTGGGGTATAGAAAATGCTGATCTGTTGTATCTCAGTTAGGGAACAATTCATAATGAATAAATGTTTTATTTGATTTGAGGTTTATTGGAGAATACAATGGGGAGCAGTTATTGAAGCTGGAATTAAAGTGGAGTCAGACTAAGCAAGTGACTAGTACAGCACAGGAAAGTGAGCAATTGGTCTGTAAAAGTGGAAATCTGGTGATGTTAAATTTAGTTGCATAATGTTTGAAAAACTAGAAAAGTCTTGCAGTTTTGAGAAAACTGGAGCTCAGATACATCAGTTTTAGCAGATCAAGCATCTTGCGATCTTCTAATAATCTCTTCCTCTATACAGATTAAAGGAGTGTACGCGTTTCCTTGACTGGCTGAGACAAAGCCAGACTTTTATGTATATTATTGATTAATTCTGTTTGTGCTGTACTAGCTGTTCTTTGTTGTCTGCGATCTTGCTGTGTCCCTTGGCTCACTAAGGATTTCTGTGACCCGCCGCTTTCGATCAATTCTCTCCGGTTTCCTATGCCTATAGTATCTCACTCCCCTTCCTAACATATGACTTTGATACAATCCTTCTTTGACATATCAAATTCCCACAGACAGTAAATGAAACGAATGACCAGATCATTTTTTGATGATATTTGTTCATAATCCTGAACCCATATTCCCTTGCTTTTTAAATAATGTTCCATTGTACTTTACCTGATCGGATGTTGAATGGTAAGACCCCTCAACAATGAGGGCCCAAATGATCAAACTATTGTAAACAAATCCTAGAATGGCAGTGACCCCACAAAGTTCCAATTCAGAGACAAGAGTGCTACTTACAGAAAGCTGAACCAAATTCAAAATTATGTTTGGCTCTTTGTGACTTTGACTAAAGAAAGGAGTTAGCATCTGGCTAGTTTTGGGGGAACACAGGAACATAGGAACAGTGGTAGGCTGTTTAGCCCCTTGAGCCTGTTCGGCCAATTCAGTGAGATCATGGACAAAAGCGTGCCTAGGATTTTTAAATGTTGATATATAATAATGAAGAACAGTAGATTAAATAGGGCTTTATTCAGAAGCAGCACCAGTGAGCTTGCTTAGAGCTTAAAAATTTCTATGCAATTATTGATCTGTATAAAAGCTTTTAATGAGTAAGCCTTAATAAGTAAGCCTTTAGTGATAATATTTTGAACTTTATTACTTAGGTATTTAGTCTTCGGTGGCAACCATCTTATCTGCTGTTGTAAAAAGAATTTGACGCATATTAAAATTTCACAATGAATATTTTTATTGAGAGGGATAATGCGGTTTTACAATTTAGGAAGAGGACTGTGATATACTGGAAGAAATTAGCATCGTCAGAGACGAAGTTCTGAGTGGTCTGGCAGGATTAAATCTCCAGGGTTGAATGAAATGTATCCCAGACTGGTGGGTGAGGCAAAGGAAGAAATAACAGGCACATTGGCAATCATTTTCAATTCCTCCCTGACCACAGGAGAGGTTCCAGAGGATTGGAGGACAGACAATGTGGTACCATTATTCAAGAAGGGAGCAAGGGATAAACCAGGAAGCCACTTGGCCAGTCAGTTTAACCTCAGTGGTGAGGAAACTATTGGAAGCAATGCAGAGGGACAGAATTAATCTGCACCTGGAGAGGCAGGCACTAATGAAGAACAATCAGCATGGTTGTGTTAAGGGGTGTCATGCCTGACCAACTGATTGAATTTTTCGATGTGGTAACCAGACATGTAGATGAAGACAATGCACTTGATGTAGTCTCCTTGGATTTCAGCCAGGCTTTTGGTAAGGTCCTGAATGAGAGACTGATAGTAAAGGTAAGAGCTCGTGGGATCCAAGGAAATGTGGTAAATTGGATCCAGAATTAGTTGAGTAGCAGAAAGCATTGGGTGATGGTCGAGGATGTTTTGGTGACTGGAAGCCTGTGTCCAGTGTTATTCCGCAGAGATCACTGTCAGAGCCCTTGCTGTTTATGGTATATATAAATGATTTAGACATGAATGTAGGAGGATTGATCAGTAAGCTTGAAGGTGATACGAAAATTGGTAGGGTGGTAAGTAGCGAGGAGAATAAATAGTCTTAGTTTACAGGATGAGATAGATGGGCTGGTCAGCTGGGCTGATTAGTAGCAAATGGAATTCAATGTAGATAATTGTGAGGTATTGCACTTGGACAGGACAAACAAGAACAGGAGAACCCTGGGAAGCACTGAGGATCAGTGGGACCTTGGTGTTCATAGTTACCTGTTCCTTAAGGCAGCAGGACAGGTAGACAAAGTGGTTAAGAAAGCATATGTGATATTTGCCTTAATTATCTGAGGCATAGAGTTTAACAGCATGGAGGTTTATGCTGGAACTATGTAAAACGTTGGTTAGGTCACAGTTAGAGTATTGTGTGTAGTTCTGGAAACCACATTATAGGAAGAATGTGATTGCATTGGAGAGTGTGCAGAGGAGATTTACCAGGATGTTACCTGAGCTGGAGAGATTTTGTTATGAAGAGAGATTGAATAAACTGGGACACAAACAGAAATTGCTGGAGAAACTCAGCAGGTCTGGAAGCATCTGTGGAGAGAAAGTCTCCTTCCCAAAATCCACAAAGAGGATTGATTGTGCCTGGCTGTGCCCTACAAAAATCAACTCTTCCTACCTCGACTCGATTTTTCTCCCTTTGTCCAGTCCTTTCTAACATACATCTGTGATTCTTCTGACACTTTACGTCAGTTTCAAAATTTCCAGTTCGTGGGCACAAGCTACCTCCTCTGCAATCCCTTTACACATCCATTCCCTATTAGGATGGTCTCAGTGCTCTCTGCTTCTTCCTGGAAAAGAGGCCTGAACCATCCTAATCCGCCACTGGGTCCCAGTTATGCCAGTCTCTTTGTGGGGTACGTGGAACATTCCTTGTTCCAATCCTGTTCTGGCCCCCACCCACAACTTTTTCTTTAGTACATCGATGACATCATTAGTATGCTTCCAACTTTCACCCCACACTCACCTTCATCTGGTCTATCTCTGCTTCCTCCCTTCCCATCCTCGATATTTCTGTTTCCATTTCTGGGGATAGGCTGGCTGGCCAGCGACATCCACTACAAACCCACAGACAACCAGAATTACCTTGACTATACATCCTCATAACCTGCTTCTTGTAAAGACTCTATTCCATTCTCCCAGTTTCACATCCATTCCCTAAGGATCATTAGCTGCCATCTCCACTACCTCCAACAGGATCCATCACCAAACATGTATTCCGCTCTCCTCCCTTGTCAACCTTCTGCAGGGATTGCTCCCTCTGGGACACCTTGGTCCATTCCACCTCCAGACCCAACATCTCCCCACACCCTCACGGCACCTTCCTGTGCAAATGCAGAAGGTGTAACTCCTGCCCGTTTACTTCTTCCCTCCTCACTATCAAGGCCCCAAACACACCTTCCGGGTGAAACAGCAAATCAAGTCTACTATATTCACTGCTGATGATGTGGTCTTCTCTATGCTAGGGAAATGAAACACAGACTGGGCGACTGCTTTGCAGAACGCCTACATTCTTTCCACAGAAATGACCCTAAGATTCTGGTTTTCTGCCATGTCAACACACCATCACTGTCTTGGGTTTGCTACAGTGCTCTAGTGAAGCTCAACATAAGATGGAACAACAACATCTTGTTTCCACTTGGGGAACCTGCAGCTTTCAGGACGAAATGACGGGTCCATCAATTTTAGGGCCTGAGCACTTGCTACCATGTCCTTACCCCAACCCCATGCACCATCTCTTGTCATCACATGAGTTGCTACCATAACCAATCCATTGTCAGTTACTAATGGTCCTCAAGAGCAGTTATTGATTCTCCCAGGCTGACCTTTACCCATTCCTTTGTCTGCCCAACTGTTGTTCTCTCTCTCTGGGCTCCATCTCCACTTATCGTTTACTCCTTCCCACTCCACCCACCCCACTGTCAGCATATATACCAACCTTTCCATAGATACAATCAGCTCTGAAGAAGGGTCACTAGAACCGAAATGTTAACACGGCTTCCTCTCCACAGATGCTGCCAGACCAATTAAGTCTTTTCAACAATTTCTGTTTGTGTTTCTGATTCGCAGCGCCAGCAGTTCTTTTTTTAAAAAATAGACTGGGGTTGTTTTCTTTGGAGCAGAGAAAGGTCATAACTCAGAAGTATAAAATTAGGGGGAGCATAAACAGGAAGACAGGAAGAAATTTTTTCCCATTGGCAAAGGATCAATGGCCAGGGAGCATAGATTTAAGATAAGGGGCAGAAGGTTTAGATGGGATGTGAGGTAAGATTTTTCAGCCAGAGTTTGGTGGGTGAACTCTGCCTATGAGGGTTATACAGGCAGAAATCCTTATAACTTTTAAGATATTTAGATGTACACTTGCAATATCAAAGTAAAAGAGGTCAGGTGTTGGAAAATAGAATTAGAATGGGATATTGTTTTTGACCAGCAAAGACTCGATGTGCCAGACAGCCTTTGTTGGAGCTGTAGACCCCTATGACTCTAAGATACAAAAAGCACTCGCATCTATGTACATTAAATAGACCTTCCTCATTCACTTGTGAAACTTAAAGCACTTTTTCATAATTTTGTTAAACTATTTAAAGAAGCTACAATCATGTTACCGAATATTGTTGTTAAGATTAGAGAATTCATTTGTTACTTCATGTAAAATAAAAGTTTACAATAATAATTACCAAGTATTCATTTGTTATTAATAAAAGAATGTCAAATGTATAAATTGTATTCCAGACAACATAAACATCACAGTCTTTTTCTGCCTTGACAGATATGAACGCTACAGTGCGCAGAATTGATCAGATTACAAACATTTTGGCTCCAATGGCAGTTGGACAAATAATGACCTTTGGCTCCCCTGTCATTGGCTGTGGCTTTATCTCTGGTTGGAACCTCTGCTCCATGTGTCTTGAGTATTATCTGTTATGGAAAATTTACCAAAGAACACCTGCGTTAGCCATCAAAGCAGGACAGAAGGTGGATGAACAGGAAATGAAACCATTGAACAAACAAAAAGGTACTCAATACATATCATGAACGACCACTTAGTCAAAAGATAGTTCTGTCATAGCTGTGAAGAGGATACTCATTAACATAAATTAGTTTATTCCCTAGCATAATTGTGGAGGCTTCATGTTGTTGCTGAGTTCTTGAGATTTTCCTGTAGTTATATATAACAAAATCTCTTTCTTCCACTCTAACATGTTTATGTCAATCACAATCTATAGTATGAAATGTATTTAAAAGGAAACAAACTCTGACTTATAAAATACTTACCGAATATTATAAGCATGACCTCTAATGGTTAGGAGCAATAACAAGGCGAGGGAGCCTCTAAGATGGAATTTCTTCCCATCCTGTGCCCAGTGTGCCTGCCCTCTGGGATTCAATTGGCTGCTTTGGTTACATTGTGACTCATCTCCAAATGAAAGAAAAGCAAACTGGAGGAATAGTCAACTATTACCACACTTATTGCTCATCTCATGAACTGCAGATGCCTACAAACATGCAACCACCCTTTTCTTTTAACTGGATCATTTGCTTGAATTTCTGTTCAAAATATGTTTGACCATTTCATTAATCACATCTGCCAAATAAAATATGATGAATGTAAAACATGAAAATAATACAAAGCAAAACATTGTGCTAACCATTAGCTTCACAGTTCACAAGAATTCCAGTGAGCTAACATATTAGGTTATAGACCCATTCACCCTGTAAATTGTACTGTTTAGCCAGTAAATCAATGTTAAATTTAGTAGATGCTGAATATTTGCAGGCACCGGTTTTTGAACACTCATTCAGCCTCCTCATTCCTGAATGTACATTTTTATAAGATTGCACTGTTTAAAATGAAATAGATGTTTATATCATATTTGCCAACGTTAGTTTTCAAACAGCTAAAATATAAGCATTGTAAGGATGAACAGACACTATTCTAATTGTTAAGTTCAATTTTTGAAATTTTAGTTTCAATTTGAGTAAAATAATAATATTTGCTGTACTGATTTAGAGTTCCTTGTAGTCTAATAAGCTGATTAAATTCAGGAAATTTAAACCTGCAAACTGCTGTGTGTTCTGAAAACTTCTTTGATCTGGAGCGCTCTGAGTTTGCCACTGGTTACTAACTGAAGATATTATGTTTTTCCAGATATTGAATATGGCCAAACAAACACAGATGGGAAACCAGCTGAAGGTGCTCATGGGATGAAAGTGAAGACAGTGGAACAAGAAGAAGAGCAACATTGTGGTGACAAAGTTTTTGGGCCTTTCCATACATTAAGGGATGGGTGGGTAGCCTATTACAACCAAGATGTGTTCTGGGCTGGCATGGGTCTTGCGTTCCTTTATATGACAGTGCTTGGCTTTGACTGCATCACAACTGGATATGCCTACACACAAGGTTTGAGTGGATCTTTTCTTAGTCTGCTGATGGGGGCTTCAGCTATTGCTGGAATTCTGGGAACCGTAGCCTTTACGTGGATTCGCCGAAAATGTGGCCTGATTCGTACAGGCTTTATCTCCGGTGTGGCTCAGTTTTCATGCCTGCTTTTGTCTGTAGTTTCTGTCTTCATGCCTGGAAGTCCTTTAGATTTATCTGTATCACCATTTGAGGACTTTGCCAGCAGATATATGGCTATGAATACCTTGATGGAACCTGTTATGACAACTGCAGAACCTCAGCTAGTCACCACAGTCGGCTATAACAACGCAACAACTGAATCCCCAAGCGATGACCAATTTCAACCAGAATCTTATATCTCAGTGAGTTTGCTGTTTGCTGGCATCATTGCCGCAAGAGTTGGTAAGTCTGAACTTAAACTGAAAAGTTAACAATAGAGATGTGTTGGTTAGTCAAACTTCAAGAAGAGGAATTCATAGCCCAAAACTTGAAACTGCAAGATTTATATCACATCGCCTCTGTCTGTTAACATTTTGCACTGGGGTGTTATGAAAATCTAACTAATAGACTTCTCAGGATTTGTGTCAAGATAAGACAGTAGTTGAATTAACATAAATTAGATCAGGTTTTCTTCTTGTTTTGAAACAGAAAAATTGGTCAGTACCCAAACTGGGAATGAACATGGCTTCCACACCTAATGCATTGCTGAGGGACTGCTGTGCTTCCTAGCATCAGCTAACATTAGTCTAAACAGGAGATGCATATTGGTTGCAGCAGGTATTGGAAGTGCGGGTGGGTGGTGGTGGAGTGAGTGTGGAGGTCAGTGCTAGGCCTTTAGCCCAGTCAACATACAGACAGTGCTTAAAGAAATTTGATAACCTCATGTGAATAATCAAGGCCATAGAATGTATTTTCAAATGCCAGTCCTACCGTTAGTCAAGTGCTGAGTTGCATAATAAGTTGGCGCTTCCCTTAGGTAATACTCTAGCACCAAGACTAATGCTAGCCTCACATGCTGCTCAGCATGCCATAGCTCAATCTCTATCAACTATGACATACATAACATTCATAGCTTCAACTCACCTTCATCCACGTAACACTGCTGCGAGCCTCATACATAACAGCTGCTGGTTTATATAAATTGCTGGCTAAATCATTACAAGCATAAAGCAAAATCATTGATACACATCCCTGTATCTCTTGCAAGGAGTATACAGGAATGCAACACCAACATGACGCAAAGTTTTGCGCAGAATTGGAGCTCTTCCTCTCCATTATGGAAGTGGTGGCCAGCTCCGTGAAAACACTTACAGACCCAATCCTGACACAATACCTGATGGTTGATGTCTTGAGCTTTCTTTGCAGACAGACCCCTGCATATTCCTCCCCCTGCCCACCCCGTGAACCCCTTATCACCATCACTCACCTATGGCCTCAGGATTCAGCAAGGTTACTTGGCCTCGAGTGGGTGTTCTACCTGCAGTCGCCTCCACCTTCCCAGTGGTTCTGATGTCCCATTCAAGAGAATTGCCAGCCTCTCGTTAGCCAGCAGCTCTTGGCAAGTGGGATTTCCACCCCAAGGGGAAGGCACACTGCTGTCTAGTCAAGTTCCTGAGTCACATAATACATCGACTCTTCCTTTAGGTAGTATGCTAGCACTGAGGCATTTGCTAGTTCTGCAGTCAGCAAGGAAGAGTCTGTTCACCTCTGTTCATTCCAACCATTGTGTCCTGTCAAGAACCCTCTTCCAACTCTTCTCTCTTAAATTCTTTCTTCAAGTTTTCATGCTGTTCAAAAAATGTACAAACTATTGCATCTAAATATGGGAGCAAGTAGTTGCTGCAGAATCCTTGAAGTTAGGACATGGTCCTTTAGCATGCTGTATCAGTATCTGTAGAACTTAACATCTTTAGCAAAGTCTAGAAAAAAAAGCTTCTACAACTTCATCAAAAACCACTAATGACATGCATGTACCTTTGTGACCCCTTTAAACAACATTGGTAGAGAGTACTTCCTGCTGTTGAGCACAGGTTTTGTTGTGCAAGTCTATGCTGGTTAGCTGGAGCATTGAGCTCCAAAATGACAGAGCTGGAACAAATCAGCCTTGCACACCAATTGACATCATTCCTAGCCCACATACCTCCTGCAAACATTCCTACACATATGCATTAATACACTCGTCAAAATGCTATCCCATCCAGCTAGCACCAGAGGTGTGCACAGGTACCACAAAACCACTTTAAAGGCAGACAGCATCTATAGGGTACCATTATGCTGAAATTTGTGACCATAATATCTTACTACTATATAATACCCCTGGTTCAAAATTGGTAATTGAACCGCTTAACATTTACATGTCAAAATATGAAGTTTTATTTTTATATGAAGTTCTTGTCTTTTTATTTCAAACAAGTTGGTATGCGCTGAAATAGTGCACTAAGTTCTAATTTTATGCAGATATTTGTGTCATGTTATTTTGAGGCAATAAGATCTAGAGAGCATAATAGATTATTCTGTGAAACTGTCAGCACAGAATTAGCGCAAATTAAAAATGCAAATAATAGTTTTAGTAATAGAAGGATAACGTCAAGATCAAAATAGGTTGAATTATTCCTGTGTCAAGTACTGGTCATATGGAACAAAAACAAAGTTGCTGGAAAAGCTCAGCAGGTCTGGCAGCATCTGTGAAGGAGAAAACAGAGTTAACGTTTCGAGTCCAGTGACCCTTCCTCAGAACTGATGGTGGCTGGGATAACATCAGTTTATATGCAGAAAATAGGGAGGTGGGTAGGGTAGGGAGTAAACGACAGGATAGAGCCCAAAGAGAGAGAAAGACGGTTGGACAGACAAAGGTAGTAGGAACTGCAGATGCTGGAGAATCCGAGACAACAAGGTGCAGAATCTCCCCTCCCGCTACCGCATCCCAAAACCAGTCCAGCTCGTCCCCGCCTCCCTAACCTGTTCTTCCTCCCACCTATCCCCTCCTCCCATTTCAAGCCGCACACCCATCTCCTACCTACTAACCTCATCCCGCTCCCTTGACCTGTTTGTCCTCCCTGGACTGACCTATCCCCTCCCTAACTCCCCACCTACACTCACCTTTACTGGCTCCATCCCCGCCTCTTCGACCTGTTTGTTTCCTCTCCACCTATCCTCTCCTCTATCCATCTTCTATCCGCCTCCCACTCTCTCCCTATTTATTTCAGAACCCCCTTCCCCTTCCCCATTTCTGATGAAGGGTCTAGGCCCGAAACATCAGCCTTTCTGCTCCTATGATGCTGCTTGGCCTGCTGTGTTCATCCAGCTCTGCATCTTGTTGTCTCGGACAGACAAAGGAGTTGCTAATGATCAGGCTGGGAGGGTGAATAGTTGTTAATGGGGACTGTTAGTGACTAACAACAGGGGTTGTGTAATGGCAGGCTATGGAGGTTTGTGTAATTCTGGGCTTCTTATAGGAAGGTTGTCATTTTATAAATGAATTCAATGCATTAAGAATATCTATAAGGAAAGAAGGGGATGATGGTTTTGTTGAGAAGCAAGATAGAATGGGTAATGTAATGAAGGGAGGCAGATTTGGCTTAAAAGGCCTGGTCCTGTTGTAAAAATGCGCTTAACATACATTATTTTTATTCCAATTTTGTTTAAACACTTGAACCTTTAAGAAAAGAAAATGAAAATGTGCAAATGATGCTGAATTATGATGTGTTATGAAAAAGAGTGACCGAGGAGCTTGATGCATGTGAAATGTGTGTGGGAGATCTGTTATATATTTAGTAAACAAGGCCAGTGGTGTAATAAATAATCAAAGGTCATATTGCTTTTTCTTATTCTATCAGGTCAACTTCATCTAGTAATGTTGAGCACCTTTTTTAAATTTATAAAGCTAATACTGACTCTTATTTATCTTTTCTCAGGGCTTTGGTCCTTTGATTTAACAGTTACACAGCTAATTCAAGAAAATGTGGATGAATTGGAACGGGGTATCATAAATGGTGTGCAGGATTCCATGAATTATCTTCTAGATCTAGTGCATTTTATCATGGTAATATTAGCTCCAAATCCAGAAGCGTTTGGCATCCTTGTAATCATTTCAACTTCTTTTGTTGCTATGGGGCATTTGATGTATTTCAGATTTGCTTATAAGTCATTAGGAAGACAGCTGTTTGCATGTATTTCCAAAGACCCAACAATTCACACCAATGATCACCAAGTAACTGACTGCGTGGCAGTTAGCACCTGAGTAATAAAAGATAATATCCCTCATATTGACTCATGCGTTATAAACATTAGGCTTACGTTTTAGAGATATCTACTTTTCAAATAGTTTAGATACCCCAAGTAACAGTAGAGTACAGAATCCAACAAAGGCCATGTTTTCGTTAGTTTCTGTTTGCTCTTTCTGTTACATACTATATTAAACAATATTTTTCAAGTACTGCTGAATTAGATATCTCCTTTGGCACGAGCATACCTTGCTGGAGTTCATTTGCAGTTTCAGTAGTGAACAGCTGAAAACGCCATCATTATTCCACAGTGAGTGTGCAAGTTATTATCTACTGCTTTGGTCAGGGACAAACAACAATAAGTTTGAGGATACATGCTGCATGATTTGCATTCAAATTAGCAACTCTGAAATATGTTAAATATAATGTGGTTCAGGTTAACCTTTTAATGTGGGGTCATGAATATTTTACTTTCACCTTCTTGATTCCAATATCATTGATATAAAGTTTGCCAAAGTGCAATAATAACTTCCAAAATAATTTGCAGTATAATATTTGAGAATGAAAAAAAAATTAAATAAATATTCCCAATGAAACTGGATCTTGATATTTAAAATCGAAAAGATCCTGAAACATGTGAGTCATTTGCTGAGAGTTTTCATGTGTGTGGAAGATATGGCTGTTAGCAAACATTACTATGTTAGGTTTGAAAACTCCAAGATGACAAAGTGTTTAATATTAATTTGTAACATTGCTCTTTCTCTTGTTAATACAAGGACAGAATAAGTCGATCCTTATATCTTCAAACGAGATTATTTTTAACCAAACTGCTTTAAACATTTTTATGACACATTGCTCTATTCAAATTAAAATCCATGGTGCATTTGGAAATATTAAGGTAGTGATCTAACCTACTGGAATATGTGAGGTGGTGTTGGGGTGTGTGTGGGAGGGGTTGTAAAGGGAAGATCGAGAATTGCAGTGGTTGCAATGTGTATTGATATTGCAACTATTCAAGAAGATGTCCTCTGTCATTGCTTCAACTGAAATTCTAAATACAGCAAATTTCACCAAGCATAACAATCAGAGTAATCTCTTTCCCTAATTCTGTCTGGGAAATGGGGGTATGCTCTCTAGCATATAACCTAACACAATTAGCCAAAATAGTTTTAAGATCTCTATGCTTAGAGGAATTAAATGGGATAAAGTACATTTTTCATTGCTATGACATTCCTTGTTTGAAAGTGGACATGATACAGTCTGTGCAGGTGAATTGTTTGTTGAATACAGCTGCTGAACATCTATCCCATGTTGCAGGGAGACCAACTGAAAATCTGTTATGTACAGCTCCAACTTCTGTGATTTTGTGAACAATTATGAAAAATCAACCAAAGGCTTGCTATAGATTTGAAGTTAAATTTCTAAAATTCATAATTTTTTTACAAGTATAGATTCAGAAAAATCTTTTATAGTCAATATTTATAAGTTGTACCAGAGTTTGAAATTAAATTTCTGGATTCCTAAGAGAGATGTATTAAATAATATTTTGAAATATATTCATAACTTTACCTTTCTCTTGGATGAATAATGAAATTTTATGAAAATGATACACGTACTAAACACTCCAAAGCCATAGTTTCTGAAATTGAAAGCACTGCTAAATAAAAAATGTTGCTAAAATAATGAATTGGTTGTGTTGGTATGTTTTGTGTTTTTATTGTCAAATGTCATATCATAGTTGGTAAATTCCGCATTCAGTAGGGAAATGAACTGTTCAAAACTGAAGTTTTAGTTCAATCCCTAATCTTTGCTGACCTAGCTGATCTTTGCTGCAAGGCAACAGAGGCTTTTCCTCCAGCTGAGCTCAGCATTTCCATGCCAGGAAGTGAAAATACATCGGGCAGGATCTTATTTTAATCACAATCTGGTGAGTTCTGCTGGAAAGTGAATGCATGTAGATTTTGGTGAGGACCAGACCGGACTTGGATGTGATGCCCTTCATGTGTACAAAATGGTCAGAGGTATAGATAGAGTGGACAGCCAGAGACATTTTCCTAGGTTGGAGGTAGCTATATAGAGGGGGCATAGTTTTAAAGTGAGTGGAGGTAGATATAGGGGAGACGTCAGAGGTAGGTTCTTTACTCGGAGAGTGGTCGGGGCGTGGAATGCATTGCCGGAGAGGGTAGTGGAGTCGGCCTCATTAGGGGCATTTAAGTGGCTATTAGATAGGCATATGGATGATAGTATAAGGTAGGGGTGGAGGTTAGATAGACCTTAGGTTTAGGGTAAACGTTCGGCACAACATCTTGGGCCAAAGGGCCTGTACTGTGCTGTACTGTTTTATGTTTTATGTTCTATGTTCTATGTGCAGATAGGCTTCCAAAGTCCACTATTCCTGATTTTACCTGAAGAATGGTCACAGGAGTGAGGTATTGGATGACAAGTCCTACACAGAGAATTGCATCCAGCCACCAGTTAGTGACTTCAGGAATGTGTCAAAAAAAAATTGGAAGGAAAAGCACCCCATCCATCTATCTCCCAAACCAGCTGGATCCCTTTTCACAATTCATATAAATTGGTTAAAGGGGTAGAAATTATGGCTGCTAAATTTGCTGATGACACTAAGATAGTTAGGAAACTAAGTTGTGAACAGGACATAAGGAATCTACAAAGGGATATTGAAAGTTATATGAATAGGCAAAGACCTAGCAAATGGTGTCTAATGTCGGAAAATATGCAATTGTTCATTTTGGCAGGAAGAATAAAATCAAAGCAAATTATCTAAATGGTGAGATATTACAGAGCTCTGAGGTGCATGAATTACAGAAGTTTACTATACAGCTACAATAAGTAATTAGGAAAGCTAATTTAACATTATTATTTATTATAATGAGAATTAAATACAAAAGTAGGGAGGTTATGCTTCATTTATACAGGGCACTGGTGAGATCATATCTAGAATACTGCGTACAGTATTGGTCTCCCTATTTAAGAAATTACTTAAATTCATTGGAAGCAATCAAAGAAGACTTTACCGGACCAATTCCCAGATTGGATGGTTTATCTTATAAAGAAAAGTTGTTTAGACTAGGTCTGTACCTGCTGGAGTTCAGAGGAGTATGAAACTTGGAGCTGGCAAGAACTGCAGATGCTGGAGTCAGAGTCAATATGGTGCGGAGCTGGAGGAACACAGCAGGCTAGTCAGCAACAGAGGAGCAGGAAAGTCGATGTTTCGGGCCTGGACCCGAGAGATGATTTGATTGAAACGTACAGGATCTTGACAGGATGCATACGGAAGGAGGTTTCCTCTTGTCAGAGTCTCGAACTAGGGGTCACATTTTCTAAATAAGGTACCATCCATTTAAGACAAACGTAAGGAGAACATTTTTTCTCAGTGTTGTGAATATTTGAAACGGTTTTCTTCAAAAAGAGGTAGAGGCAGAGTCCTTGGTTATCTTTAAGATAAGAGTTAGATAGATTCTTGATAAGAAGGTTTCAGGGGTAGGTGGGAATGTGGAATAGTCAGATCAGCCATGACCTTTTTGAATAGCGGAGCAGGCTCAAGGAGCTAATTTGAATGTCAAATAAACCTGATTATAAACCTCCACTGAATTTGTGTGTCATATAAACTTACCCACCACCACCTGCAACCTCACTCCGCCTGTCCAAACATACACCTACACATCCACCCTCTCACCCATTCACTCAGAAGCTATGGAACCTTTGAACACTTTCCAGAATATGGCAAAGAACCGCCATAAAATTGAGGATGCATTCGCACAGATTCTCTTCGCTGCTCTCTTTGTAGATCCCTGCACCAAGGAAGTTGTTCAGCATCCTCAATCAGAAATTTGGCCAGAAAAAGCACACTCAAGTAAGTGGGTAGTTTTCAGTCTGATCAGCATGGGAAGAATGGATTAGGATGCTGATTAAGATATTTGTCGCAAAATATGACAAAATGCCAAGAGTAGGCACAACAACAGCATAGAATTGCTTAGTAACAGAACACATATGGAAACAAAAAGTACTGGGAATATTCAACAGTTTGGGTAGTTCCTATGGAAATGGAAACAATCTGAATGGGTTGAATTTGACAAAGTCCCAGTGTTGGGGCCCAACATGGATTGCATGGATGTTCTGGCAGATGTGAAATCTGAAAACAGGTTTTGCCGAGTCCAATCACTGGACAGCAGGTGGAGGAGCTGGCCAGTATCAAGTGGCAGGTTGGAGAAATTTCAAGCAACTGAATTGCAAGGGCCACATTTGAAGGATCGGCCCCATTCAATTTAAAAGCATCGTACAAAAAGACACTTGTAAGGGACAGTAATCTAGGTTGCTTTCAGGGAATGTCTGCAGTTAGATGAAGAAGAGCTCCCAGGTTTAGTGTCTGCTGCCTGGAGGAGCACTTCCTTCCTTCAGGCAGCAAGGGCATGGAAGAAGCTACTTTTCCACTCAATGGGAGGAAGAGGCCAGTGAGCCTCAGCAAAAAGGCATAGCTAGAGGTCGCAGATAACCGTAGCTACAGGGTGGTCACATAAACATATTTGTAGTGCCTCAAGTGATTCAATGACCTGCTGAGATTTAACAAGGTGAGTAGGCTTCATTACATCAAGCCCAAAGTCTGGATATCACAAAAGGTATCAATGAAATGTGAGACAAAGTTGTCAGTTCTAACTTTAGCAAAGCATTCACAGCAAGATACATAATAGCCTCATAGTAGAATCCTGTCATCAGTCTAAATTGATCACGGCATTACCAATCCTAAGTGGGCCCCATGTTACTCGACCTTGAACTTGATACAGACTGATGAGCATAAGCAGATTATTGGAGACCAGTGACAAGATGTATGCCTGTGTTTACCAGAGAAGGAAGCTCACTATAACAGAATAGAGAAAAATTGAAGGAGCGTTGGCATTGTTTGCTGTATCAATTCTAATGGAGCAAGAGACACTGGAGTCAGGACCTCCTGGATACACACAATCTATGGTGCCTTTGCCATCAGTGATGAATGCAGGGCACCCCAGATGATGAATGGGCAGTCGAAGTTGCTGGAAGGTGCAGCATGCTGAAATTATCTCAAATAGCATAAGAGAAAACAATATGTACAAAGCAATTGCATTAGATCTCAGGTGAGGCGCCACATTCTGAAGACATAATGTCACTAGTGCAAAACAGCGCACTTTTCACCACTGTAGACACTTGCACGTCATGTGGGCGATGGATGATTTATTGAATGTGAGCTTGGTGGGGTGGAAAGTAATAAGAAGGGGAGCTGAACTGTGGTTCAGAAAGTCAGGGGCAAGGGTGAGTGCAGAAATGCAGAAAACATGATAGACACAATCAAGGATCCTGTCTGGAGGAAAATCTATGGTTGAGGATAAAAGAAGGTATATCAGAAGTTCTGGTATGGAAGGGGACATTGTCTGAATAGATGCATTGGAGATTCGACACGGCAAGCATGGACTAGAACAATGCTGATTTCAACAATTTTAGTTTGTAAAATCTGCCCCATTATCTTGCATGGCAACTTTCAGTTCAAATTTTCTCAAAATGCTTAAGCTAGACACATAAGAGAATCTTGAGGTTAACCTTTTGCCTGAATCATGAGTGATACCCTTCCTGTGTTTTCTGCTTATTCATGTGCTGACAACAAAAATTATGAAAAAGTAGGAACGTAGACTGTTCAACTGGTTTCCCTTTTACTCAAATGCTAATCACATGCCTCCCTTTTTAACATTGCATTTACACTTTGACATCTTCTCTTACAAAAACATTTCTTAGGGCATCGTTTAAATCAGAAAATACATTATTGCCTTGATGCCGAGTAAAACTTAGCAACTTTTGACAATATGATGTACATTATTTTGCAGCAAAAGAAAGAAAGCATAAATGCATAACATACCTCCAATGTACTTGAAGTCTAGAGTGATAGTCAAGCCTTGTTTTCAGAAACAAAGGCAAGACTCCAATTTTTTTTTTTAATAAAAGAAAACACCACATGTAACTTTTCAATGTTGCAAAAGGTAGGTCATGTCTGGCAAATCTGATTGAATTTTTTTGAAGAGGTGACTAAAGTTCTGGGTGTATTGATTATGTGGATGTCCAGAAGACAACTGATAAGAGATAGCTAGCTAAAACTGAAGCTTATGTCATTGAAAGGAAAATTATTGACCTGGTTAGGAAATCAGTTGAGCACAGGAGACATAGAATTGAGATAATGGGCATGTATTATAATTGGCAGAATGGGATTGGTGTCTGCAAAGATTTGTACATTACTGACTGATGTGATAGGATATAAAGCAGAGTAGGTGCAAATATAATATTATAATGAAATATTGATAGATGATACAAAATGGGGAAAACGATGGTAAACGGATTTCAGTATAAACAAACATGGGATCATGTGCTTGGGAGTTATAAATTATTGAATAGTTTCTTTCTAAACGGCGAAAAGCTAGAATCTTTGGGGATTAAAAGTAATGTGAATACCCAGTACAGTGTTTATTAAAATGCCATGAATAGATACACAAAATAATCAGTGTCCAATGGAATGCTGTACTTGTCTACAACATAAGAGGATAGATTTAATACATGAACATTTTAACTGAATTTCATGCTGAATTAGATTGAAAAATCAATCTGAATTTCTGCAAAGAGATAGAAAAACTGAGTGAATTGAGCAA